CCCCCCCGCCCCAGGATCTCCTGCTAAGCTCTAGCCCAGCCTGGCTGATCCTGGAAAAGCCAGTCAGGTCAGCCTGGATGGGATCTGGGACGAGGATGTGAGCAAAAATTGGAAAACGTCGGCAGCAAACTATTTCCATATGGTGGTCTATTGGGGGGCCTGCAGGGAGGGGTCAAAACATTCAAGAGGGCTGCCACGACTGCACCATCATCACACGCCCGCGTCTGCCATCTTCAGCTTTAACAGAGGCACGCGTGCACGCCCACAAGTGCGCAGGAAGCTGCCAGGAGCCCAGCTGGGTTCAGAGCAAAGGGTGGGACTATGAAAGTCCCCTTCTCGGGCATTTTTACAGAGAGTCAAACCTCTTTTCCTTTAGCACCCGGTAAAAGCAGCTCACGGGGAGCCCGTGGACTCCACCATCTCCTTTTCATCAGTGACGGGCAGAGCGGGCGCACCATAAACCCCGCCTAGCCGGCTCAGAAAGTACTTCCAGCCCAAGGAAAGTTGGCAGAGGGAAGGGAGGGCCCATGTACCTGATCCAAGGGATCTGGGAGGCGACCAAGGACCCTCTGGCCATCCTGGAACCGCCCCACTGCCCTCCCGAGGCTGCAAAGCCCGTCCTGTGGGGCAGAGGCAAGCCTTGGGAGTGCTGAGGCAGGGCTGCAACGGGCCCCCTCGCTTCCTTCCGGCAAGGGCCTTGCCTCCCCTGCTCCCCTCCCTGGAGGGGGGGCTCCCTCCCGTAAACCTCCTCCCTGCAAGACGGAGGAGGGTCCGGGTGGCTCCTAAACCCCACCGGCCCCCACTGGCAGAAGGGCTTGGATTCGCTGAGGAGCTGCCGGTCCTAAATGCCCTGGCGGTGGGCTCGGGGCTGCTCCGGGTCTTATTCCCCAGGAAGGAATGCTGGGGCTTGGGAGAGGTTCCCGGGGCACGCCAAGCCCAGCTCTGCGCCCTGCCTTGCAAAAACGAGGCACCCAGGCCCACTCTCTTCTTCCTGCCTCCCCAGGGAACATCCTAAAGACTTAGGCCAAGGCAGGACTATCTCCGTGTGGGGAAACCCCTCCCCAGTTTCAGGGGCTGCCCTGCCACTCAAGTGCAAGCTCACCCCAATTTTTCCTGGCACCCCACTTGCTAGTCTGGGGGAAAGGACTCCGGCTTGACCCCGTCCCTTGGAGAAGGGCAAGATTAGGGTGTTCTTGCCCCATAGTGAGCCAAATCATGCGCACGGCCCGCTCTGCTGGGTCAGGTTTCACTTTAGGCTGTTCCCCTCCGTGCACCTGGCGCACGGATGACCCCCAGGAGAGTGAGGCCGGTGTCCAGAGAAGGGCCCGTCCGCCCTGACAGACCCCCGGGAGTCGGCAGAGGGGGATCAGGAGGGGCACCCCACGCGGGGACGTGGCCCAGCTCCCGTGGTGCTCAGGGCTGCCCAGCCAGGCCTCAGCCCCGCGCCCCGCCGAGGACTGACTCTGGGGGCAACACGTGCAAAGCAGAGCGCTGGTCCCCGCCCTGTCCGGCTTACCGTCAGCACCCGAGGCCGCTGAAGGTCCCGATCCGGTCCAGCTTGACCCCAAAGCAGCCCAGGGAAGCCGCCTTCTTGGGTCGCCCTGGAAGCCTCCTCTGCATCTTCGCCAAGTCACGGAGGAGGTGGAGCCAGCGGTGCTCGGGGGGGAGAGTCGGGGGCCTGGGGGAAGGCTGCCCCCTTAAGGGTGGTGGTGAGGAGCCAAGGGGGAGCAAGGGGGGCCCTGCCTCACTGCCGGACAGCAGAAGCACAAGGTCCTGCCCGAGGATTTCCAGCATCCGCTGTAGGGAAGAGGAAGACGTTCGGGGCAGCGATGAACTGATTGTCAGCCAAGAGCCCCCCGCCCCCGCCCCACACGAAGCCTTGTGCCACGCCATGCTGGCCTTACCCGGGGAGGGTGGACGGGGGTCTGGGAAGCTGGCAGCAGGAGGCAGAGGAGGAGGAGGAGGAGGAGAGGCCAGGGCTTCATTGCGGGCAGCATGTTCCTAGGGGAGCCCAGCAGGTAGACTGCCTTGGTCCAGGAAGGGCGAAGGGGCTGGTGGCTTTGCGTCTGGCCTCCCCGCACCTCTGGCTGGAGCTTTATAGGGGTGCTCGACCCCCATCTCCCTGGGCAACAGTGTGCTGGGAAGGGAAGGGCCCGGGGAGGGGGTTCGGTCCCCCAGGGGAAGCCATGAATCGCCCAGGGAATGAGTTATGGGCAAAGAGGGACAAAGGAGCAGGCAGGGGGGCTGGGAGGAGGAGCTGAAGGCAAAAAGAAAAGGAAACAAACGCCCAAACCCCCCCCCCGGAACACAGGCACGAAGGGCTTTTCTACCCCACGCTTGCTGGCAACCCTGATTGTGCACCCCCTGATCCTCCGTGCCTCTCCCCAACTCCCCCCAGCAGTGTCTGGAGCCAGGCCTCCCCCCATCACGACCTTTTCCTCCCTTTGCTGCCAAGCCAGCGCCCCCCTCCCCCTTTCCTCAATCCATCACCAGGAGGGGGACGCTGGCGATGCCAAGGCGACCAGGGGCCAGCCAATGCCCTCAAGCGTGCCCCAAGTTGGCTTCCCCTTCTCTGCAGAGGCAGGACCGGAAGCAAGGGGACCCTTTTCATTATGGGGGAGCAGGAGGAGGAGGGGGCAGATGTGGCTAGCTGGGTGGAGAAAAGCTCAAGGCGGTGGCCACAACCAGACAATCGAAGACGCACATCACGACGCAAGTAAAAAGGGGCGGGCTTCGGTCGACGGTTGTGGCCAACACCTTGAACCTTTTGACCTCCTCACAGTCACTTCTGTCCCCCTCAAGAAGCTCAGAGGCTTCTCGAGCAAGAAGCAACGGGGCTCTTCCCGAAATCCACCATGTGGTTGGCAAGGTGTGGGTCAGGTCACCCCAAGCAGCCCCATGGAGCCCCTCGGGGGGACCCTTTCAGAACTCCTTGCAGCCACGTCCTCCCCCATAATTTCACAGCAATTCATTTCCATCCACCTGCGAGGCGCCGGAATGAGTAATTCCACGAGGGAGCAGCCCGGGGAGGAATGCTGAAAACCAGAAGGTGGGCCCCTCGCAAAGTGCAACCGGTGGGTGGGTGGGAGGCAGTCCGTCCGTCCGTCCGTCCGTCCTTTGGGTTTTTCCGAGACAAGCTGCCTGTGATTCCCGGGGACTGGCGAAAGAGCGTGGTTTCTTAGAGGAGAGTGGCGCGGAATCTGGCTTACCCAGCAACTGAGAAAGAGGCACCTTGCGGGTGTCCTCTCCCGGGTCCTCGTGTAGAATCCCGGTAGCAGAGCAGGGGTCACCCTCTGCCCACCCAGGGGCCCAGGAGATGGGTCGGGCCGGAGAGAGCGACAGACCAAGCTGGTCCAGCGCCAAGTGCCCCGTGGACAGCCAACACCTTTCCCCTCGGCTGCCTGGCGCTGAATCTGCAGCCCGCTTTTCTGCAGGGACTCAGAACCGACCTGAGCGCGCTACCCCAGCCCTCCTCTCCCCCCTCCTAGGACTCCTCTCTTCTTCGGCACTCACACTTTGGACCCCGGCATCCCCTTTCTCCCTTCCCCTTGAAGCACTGTGACCTGTGGCTGGCACACCGGCCATCTCCCCTCCTCCCCGCCTCTAAAGGCAGGGGTGGGGGTGGGGGAAAGGCTCCTCCGGACTTCTTTGCAGAGTCCTGGTCCTCGAGATGCAACGGCTTTCTAGTCGTCCCCCTCCAGCTGGCCCGGCTGCAAACTCCAAACTTTGCCCCGCGATCTGGGCATCGTAGCAACTGCGGCAGAAGCCTGGGCCCGGTGCTGAAGGGGACGACGAACTCCCCGTCCTGTCTCTGCACGACTCCCCGACCTTTGGCCTGGGTTCCTTCGGGCTCAAGAACCTCGTTTCCCATCTCAGAGCCAGGAAGGGAGCTGGAGAAGAACGCTGGGGGGCCGGGGGTGGGGAGACCAACCTCCTCAGAGCGGCGGAGGAGAGGCAGGGCCGTCTGCCATGGGCTTCCCAACCCCACTCCTCCCTCCCAGCCCCCTGGGGGGCTCCAAATGAAGCCCCCAGCAGTGCAGGTTCTCCTCTTGGCAAGGGGAAGGCAGCCACCGCAGCAAAGGGGGATTCTCAGGAGAAAGGGGGTCACAGGGCACATTCCTGGCACCGGGTTGGGCATCCCTTGGCCAACCAAGCCATTCAGCCTCCCTGGGTTGACGTCATCACAGGCCTACGCTTCAGTGGGAATTTGGGGGCAAAAGGCCCATTTCACCCTCTCCCCTCCGCTCCAAAGCCCGGAGCCTGTGGGACCACCAGCTTCTTCTGTCGGTTTGGTCGGAGCAGCGTCAGAAGGAGCAGCGGTGCCTGGAAACGAAGACCCCGGGGGGGGGGTGCTGCGCCCTAACACAAAGGTGGCGTTTCTACTCTTGGAAGAAGCGGAGACCTTTGGAAAGAAATTGAGCAGAGGCTGTTGGGGTTCAGGTGGGAGGAGGCTTTCGAAGCCCCTCAAGAGAGAAAGGAGGCAGACCTGGGGAGGCACAGAAAAACCAGCCTCCTGCTGCAACCGGATCGATATACATGGCTCGATCTTCCTTCCGGTGCATTTCGAGAGCCAGGGATGTGGTTGAATCTCACAGAGGAGCACTGAATGGAGGAGGGGGGCAACTTGGGGCACCTCTGGAGGCCCCTTCCTTCATCAAGAGCCTCCCCATCTACAGCTTCCCTCTCCTTTCTTCCCAGAGAAGGCCCTCGCTGGCTCCCCCTGTCTTGGGTTCAAAAGCCCTTGGAGCATAGGCCTGGCAGATGTTGGCTCCAGCCCAGCCCAAACTTCTACAGGACCAGCTCCCCTTCTCACCCTGGTGCTTGGGCTGGCATGGTTGCTGGAAGGAGAGTTGGACAGCTTCTCCCAGCTAAGCAGCACCAAGTCAGGGGGAGCTGGTTTAGATCAGTGTTTTTCAAACTTGGCCACTTTAAGATGGGTGGACTTCCATAAGTTGCTAAGGTTGAGAAATATTACTGTAGAGAGTAAGGAAGAGAGCCTTGGTGGAGATATGCAGGAACGGTTACAAAGGCAAAAGGGGCCGAAACACTTTTTAAGTCCAGAACAAGAAGATAATATTTGGAGGCGGGTCAGGCAGACACCTCTCCGATTCACTGGAGCATAAGAAGGGGGAGGCGATCCAGCGCAGTCAGACTTGGAAGGCTCTGTTATTCCTGCCAATCTCAACTAAAGTGCCTTTAGCCCTCCTGTTGGGTTGACTTCCTGATCTGGCCCACCTTGCGGGGCTGACAGTCTCCTCTGCCGCGGTTGAGGGCCGTGCGTCAACCGGCTGTAGGGAAAAAGCTTCACTCTGAGTGGGGCTGAGGGTAGGGGGCTCCTATGCCTTGCCTGGACGGCCATGCCCCAACCAGAGCTTAGCCTTTCTCTAGCCCCACGCTGCCCCACCGGGCATCACCAGCCCTGCTCACAACTAAGCCATGTACCCCGACCGATCTCCCCATCTAGCATCCTCCCACCCCGTCCTCCTGGCCGGTTCGCTCCTGCTGTGGCCTTGGGAGATCAGGGGCTCCCGATTGGAGCCAGTGGGCAGAGGGTCCCACCACTGGCACCCCGGGAGCCTTGTCTGCTGTGGGAAGGAGAGGCTCCAGGTCCCTCAGCCCCATGGCCTCATCCTGTTCTCCTGACCACCGGCTCTCCCAGCCCCTGCCCTGGAACCAGCCTCTCCTTTTTGCCAACGTGGGGCACATATGGGGTTGCTCTCTCAGGCCAGGCGGAGGGTAACCGGAGGGAGGGGTGGGTGGAACGGTAGCCTTCCCCAAGCTGATGCTCCTGGAGGGGTTCCACTCCTCTCACCCCGAACTGCACAGTCCTTGGACATGCTGGCCGTGAGTGATGACACATTTATTGATTTATCTGTTAAGTTTCTATGCCACCCATCTCCCCAGAGGGTGACTCTGGGCGGCTCACAATTAAAATCAAACATCAAAAACAGTAAAAATATAAATATCCATATTAAATTAGCTAAAAAAAGCATACCATATACAAAAACACATCAGATACAGTACATCTGGAGGACATACAGAGCTGCTGTGCCTCAACAACTATTTATTTCTCTAATACACTGATAGTCGCTATCCCGGCTAGTTTATTTGTATTTATTTATTTTACTCTTTTCAACAATTGTGTCAGTATTGAAACTGGACTCATATCAGACAGCAGACCATGGTGGTCTGCCTGATACGTGCTGGAATATTGATTCATTTATTTATGGAGTCATTCATTCAAGAACAGCCAAAGGACTGGACTTGAACCTACAGAATAGGCACGGCGGGTGCCCTTGAAGAACGCAGCCAACCCAAAGCTCAAAGAATTCTCAGCCCTCCATGTCCAGATGGGGCTTGGAGATGTTTTTCCTCCCCTATGACCACACCTTTCAGCTGACACGAAGAGATACATGGACCCTATCCTGGCCACCTATCTATGACCTCACTCTGCAAAGGACGAGGGATCCATGAAACTAAAAGCAAGCCAACGTTGATTCCTGGTGACTGCCTGGACTAGTTCCCGCACTTTTCTTGGCAAGGAGTTCCCGAAATGACTTGCCATTGTCTCCCTCCGAGGGCTGAGAGAGCGGGACTGGCCCAAGGTCCCCCAGCTGGCTTCGTGCCCAAGGCTCGGGGTCTCCCAGTTCCTAGGCTGGTGCCTTCACCACGACACCAAAGTGGCTCTTGAGGCCAAGGAGGAAGAGATTTTAATCTGTCCGAAGAGCAGAATAGCTCCACTCTGAAGGTTTAGAATAGGTTCTCCTCAAGTTAAACCAAACCAAACCAGCTCAACTGGAAACATTTTCAGTGTACCCCTAACGAGAATTCACACTCCACGTACTCCGTGGTAGCGAAGCGGAGCAACAGTCCGCGCGGTGCCAACTATCCCC